GAATACAAGTCCATTTCAGCTCACTAATGCCTAGGATATCTGTTTATGCATTCCAGTTGACTTTTGACAACGTCCAATTTTCCTGGATTCATATTTTGTACATTCTATATTCTGATTATTAATTGATGTTTATCATTTTGAATTGTGCTCCATCAGCAAATGAAGATCCCAAAAGTTTTACTCCATCTGCATCACTCTGAGGAGGCAGCTCTTGACCAGTCATTATTTTGAGTGCCTTCCAATTTGACGGGCTCATCTTCTGGCAATGTATCTGACAATATTCTGGTGTTTGTTGTCATGTTTCAATATTCAGTATTCTGGTGCTATCTGGTGTGTTCCACTGCTATTCTTAGGTTTTCAGTGACTAAATATTTGAAAATAGTCTGTCTCTCCTTCTTCTTTGTCTTAGTCTAGAGTTCATCTCAAGCCTGTTCACCATGGGTGACCCAGCTGATATCTAAAATACTGGTGGCATAGCTTCCAGAATCACAGTAATATACAAGCTACGACAATATGGCAAACTGAAAGACTAGTGGTGGTTATTTTATAGAGTCTTTATTAAGTCTTCTGGTGTGGCATAGTGGATCAGTACTAGATTGCAAACCACACGGCTGGAAGTTCAAACCCACCAGCTGCTCCTCAGAAACTCTATATAGAGATGCTATCAGTAGGAACCGACTCAACAGCACTTAACAACAACAACAACATTAAGTCTTAAATGGACAAACAAAGGTAAGACAAGATAAAGACAGACTATGATGGATGATGGAGACCATGAGCATGAGGCTAGGATGTTGTCCAAAGGATTCACATTCATGTGACCAAAATATAGGGTACAGAGAACAAAGGAAATTCATTACAATATCATGAATGGTGGCAGGTCAATTAGTCACAGTCACAGGCCAAACTGGAAACAGGAGAGGGACCATGATTGGGGTATGTACAGTTACTGCATATTAGAAAAGTTTACAAGATTGGTTCTGGGGTCCTCTGACCATTCTGGTCGGGGTATTACTCATGACCATGCAGTTCTGGTACTCAATTTCCATTAAGGGCATGCTCAGCAAATCTCTTTGAGAGCGAGACTGCCCTTCGAAAAAGTGTTCTTAATTCATTTCAAATATACTCTGCCTGAGGGAAAAGCTGCTTCTCCTTGCCTCCCCTTGCTTTCACAGAACTGTCTTGGTGACTTTGGCAATTCAGCTGTGGGGAATGTATAAAGTAATAAAGAAGGTGTCTGGATTTATGTCAAGGCTAAAGATGGAGCTGGGCTCTGACTGCTGCCTCCAGCCTTCTGTAGCCAAAATGCCTTTAAACTTCAGGCTCTAATGCAGTTTTCTGACACACGACAGC